TTTTTTCTTTTTTGCTTATGTGGTGCTGAGGAATCGAACCCAGGGCCTCATGCATGCAAGGCAAGCGCTCTACCACTGAGCCACCTTCCCAGCCCCTAACCCCTGCTTTCACTGTATTTGATGTCGGTATAATTTGTGGAGGGGAAGGGGAAAAACAAATCGTTTAAATGGGGATACAGGTAGACCCATTGCACAATGAGATGTACAAGTTGTTATGTCGAAAACGAACTTTACAACTTTAGTGGGGGGGGGAGGATTGGGTGTGTGGGGGGGAGATGGGAAGGGGAAACAAAGGAGGAGGCTACAATGCTTGATAAGAAATGTATTCATTATCTTGCCCATGTAATTATAACCCCTCTGTACAGTATTTTCACAATAAAAAAAAAAGAAACCAAAAAAAAAAAGGATGGTGTCCCTAAAAAAGCACCCTTCCCCCTAGAAAATGAAAGAGGAACACCAAGGCCTAGAGGAAGGTAGCCTAGAGCAGGATAGCTGGAGGGGGATAACAGTCCTGCCCCTTTCCTACTCACGCCATGAGTCCCTCGTTCCTCAGGATCTGCAAGCTGCAGTCCAGTGTATTCCGGTATTTGTGTGCCTCCAAGCCCTGCAAGAGCCAGAATACTCAGCAACTAGCTTCTGTCCCAAGCCCGTACCCTTCCCCACCTTCCCAGTGCTCTCCCCCGACCTGCATCCGGGTCTTGATCACATCCAGAGGTGTGTTCCCAAACACACTGGCTGCGCCTGCAATAGCTCCAAACACCCCTGTGATCAGTGGGTTCATGGGCTTGTTGGGATTGTCCCCTAGATATAAAGAGGAATTGTGGTCAGAGAAGACTAGGAGGGAAAAGGAGGGCAAGGCTTTGAGGGTTGAGGAACAGGGCCCGTGAAAGTCCCTCCATCCTCCCAAGGGTGAAGCCCAAAGGGAGAAGCCTGGCTTGCAGTGTTTGGAGGCAGGGTTGGGGGGGCACAGACTCACCTCGGTACCAGTTGCGCAGAGAGGTCATGACAAAGAAACGGATGGCTTGGTTGGAGCCCTGCTTTAGCACAGTGGCTGTTAGGCCCTGGTAGGTCCCCTTCAGTCCTGAGGACAGGCAGGCCTGGAGTCACTGTGGTGCTCCTAGGACG